TTCTTGAGAGCAGGATATCACTGCACTGGTGTTTTGGCAGAGTTGTATATTACCCAGTTCTTTCGTCTTCCATATTTACCTATTTTAAAATGACCTATCCACCACTCTATACACTCTGACCTATGCACATCATCCCCTTTATAATTTCTCGTTGTCTACACGTAGGCTTGAAAGCATTTATAGTTTTTATTATTCTGCCTGAAACATCCTTATCCTTGACATTCTCATAGCCTGAAATTTTATTAACCAAAAACTTGTTCAAAAGTATCTCTCCTGCTATAGCTCTTTCTGTCTTTATATATTTTTTGTGCCACAAAACATACTGCTTTATTTATTTTTATTATTTACTCTCAGATAAAAGCCACAGGAAGACAAATACTTTTTTCAAATATTTCCAACACTGACTGTAGGTACTCAAATATTGTTGAGTACATAAACATTAACATTAGTAATATTTGGTCCAAAATATTTCCATAAGATAACCAATAGATTCTACAGGTCTTGGAGAACCTCTCCCCAGAAATAGGATGCTTTTATCAAAGAGATAATAAGATTATCACTAAACAAAATGTTTCATCTGTTATCTGATCAGTCTGGGCTTCTCATACCTATGGACCAGCAAAAAAACAATCAATGGGGTAAGAAACCATTGGGAAGGAGGCAGCTGCCATGTTCTGGAGATAAGAGGGAGTATGTTAGGCACTCACACAAAATCAATCCACTGAAGAATTTTGTGGCATTGTCATGACCAAAATTATCACCAATATGTATCACAATCACAGCAGTAGGAATATAAGAGAGTTAAGGGATCAGCACTCTCAGTGAAATATCAGACATGCAGCCTAGAAAAGTAGAAAGAATTGAAGGAGAGGAAGATCTAAAATGGTTGGAGGATGGTAGGATGGGTGGGCAATGTAATGAGTATTGGCCTTAGTATAAACCGCATACAGGCAAACTAACAAATACTCTTCAAGTAAGTTCACTTGAAAATTGTGACCAACCAAAATCTTGTATAAACTTGCCCAGACATAACAATCTTCAGTGAGAAACAAGTAGATCTGAAGACAGTGACGAGCAAACAATAGCAAAAATTAGTTGTTAATACACTGCCAAGATCCTTTTACTACTGTGCACTTGCCCTGCATTTGCTGTGAATGTTAATTGCAGTTCACAGTCATCCTCTTCTCTGGAGATTTACCCTCTACTAGAGCATAGTCTCTTCCCTGGAGGGGTGCTCTCCACCCTAGGGAACAAACCAACCACTGATGAGCACAAGGGTAGAAAAGGCTGTTCATTTGGCCACAAAGAGGGGCCACCTCCGGGAAGCAATTAATGTCTCAAAGCTTTCCCCGTGACCAGAGCAGGATAGTCTCCAGCTGAGAGTCTGTTTGTGCTTTGTTTTTATCTCTAACTGTATCCTGCTTCTCTGGATCTCATCCTCCTGAGAGCAAGTGTTCAGTAAATCACATAAATAAGAATTCCTGACGGCATCATGGTAGAGAGCCCTGTGTAAGTCACAGGACATGTGTAGTTCCTCTCCAGATGAATTCAGTCTAGTCATAGGCCTAATAATCATCACAAACATGATTTTTAACATCAACTCACAAACTTTTAAAAGTAATTACAACACTCTAGAATAAATATAGTAAGTGGAAGATGCTATGGACACAAGAATTTTATGAAATATAATCACTGCATAAAATATAGAATACAAAAAGAGAAAATTGAGAAAAAGAGAACATAAATATCAAATGCAAACTAATTAGCAGAAAGGAAAAATTGTGGTAGCGTAAAATAGATAAAACTAAAATGTCATTAGTGGGTTAAAAAGCAGATTAAACACAAGAAACACAGGGGGAAAGGGAATCTGAATAAATATTCCAAATTACTACACCAGGAGACATTGAAGTTGGAGAATATGAAAATATAGTTTAGTACATCATATCAACACTAAAATTCCATCTGACCTAGCAACTTATCTTCTAGGTGTTGTCCCAAAATAGTTAAAGACATCATATCACAGTGATGTATGCATATCTATGTTTATAGCAACACAATTTATAATAGCTGAATCTTGAAAATTGTCTATATAACCATCAAAAGATGAATGGATAAATAAAATGTAATTTTTGGACATAATACAGTATTACTCTGCCATAAAGAAAGATAAACTTGAGTCATTCATAGTAAATGGACACACTTTGCAAACACAATATTAAGGGAAATATATCAAATATACAGATATCACATGATGTCTCTCATATGACAAGGCCAACTATAAATAAAAAGCAAAAGAAAGCAGATCATAGAGTGAAGGAGAGCCTATCTCAGATGAGGAGGAGAACAACAGATAGAGAAGAAAGATGGGGAGGGAAGGAAAGTGGATTAAAAAACAAATTGAAAAAAATGGAGACACAGCTTTTGCAAAAGAGAAGGGGAGTAGGCGATGGAAGGGGCAAGAAGAGAGGGATGAAAAAAGAATTAATATGTGTCATGCATGTATTCCAAGTCCCCACAATAAATGTAATCATTCGGTACTTCTAACATGTACTAATAATATTCTAAAACATAGAGAAGAGTGTGAGAAAGCTGACACACACTTAACCCTAACCATAGATTTAGCTTTGTATAGAAAGCGGTGGAAGAGATATGCTTTTTTAAAATGAGCCTAAAATTTTTTCAAAGTTCATAAGAAACATCAAACCATAGATTCATAAAGTTAAATAACTGCTGAATAAAATAAATGTGAAGAAATCACCTAATAGGTGTATCCTGAGGTTACATGGAGCAAAATGTCATACATTTGAGTCCTGCCTGCAACATTTTACTAGCTAAATAACTTGAATTCATTAACTTTTCTTTGTCTTTGTCTGTAAAAGTACTTATAAAATCATACCTATATGATAAGTGTTTTGAGTTGATATCTGTAAGTCCCTTAGTACTATTAGGTTTATAATTTTTATCTTTATTACTTTTTCTCGAATATTCACCAAGATGTTATGGATTTCCTATTTCTTATTAACTACCTCTCAATAAATAATAAGTAACTGAGTCTGCCTCATCAGAACCATTATGCCTTATGAAATCCAACAAAATGCCCCACATAAACAATCTACAAATGAGTGACTGAGAGTCACAGATATTTCCACTTATTTACAAGAGATAGTCATTTCCTCACAATTTTGAAAAAAGGAAAGAAAGTCTTTTGCTTCTTTGTAGCTAAAGATCTTTGGTTCTCACTTTAACCATTTAGAATGGAAATGCATCTTTCAAGGGCCAGATACACCTTAGGTGTCTCTAAGGTCTTCACTTTATAACTAAGGGGATTCAAAAGCTTCCAAATCTTTCTGGCACCTTCAGAGTTTAACATAGGGACCTTATGTGCCAGTGATCATTTAAGTCTCTTGGGTAGATAAGAATAATTTCATTCTTCTGTACCAAAGCCACTAAATGAGGAAATGATCCTGGATCTAAAACTACATAAAGTGAAAGCTCAGCAGGTAAGGGCTTTTCACAAAAGCAGGGCAACTCAATTATGTTCAAAAAGTATTTCCTTAGAAATTACTAAGACAATACACTAGTTTTGCAGTTAGGAGCATAGACTATAAGTTAAAACAAGCTTTAATAATGCTATGCAATATATACTAAAGTCAGTATTTATAAGTAATTTTCTTAGACAACATTTGGCTTTGGAGAGGAAAATTATCTGAAAAATCTTTTGTGTTAGGCCAACAATCACAACTGTTACGGATCTTCCTTCCTCCTCTGGATTTTTTCTGTCACAGCTTGTTAAAGGCCCAGGGTGACTATCAGTGATGACCCAGACGGGCTGCCTCTTTGGGAGCTCAAGGCAGAATGTGGTCCCAGCAGTCTGCTCCTTCTTGAGAAGGTGATAGTTTAAGACTACTTGGTCCTTAAGTTGTGTTTATTGTTGCCAGTTTGGAACTACCGAGAATTTCCTTCTCAACATCTCTTTTCAATTTTATAAATAAAATTATCTGTAAAAACTATCTGTATTTTAGTGTGCTATCTTAAAATACACAGAATGGGTCAAAGACAGAACTATAAAATATGAATTAATTTTTCATAAAATTCTGTTTCCTGGATGTCTCTTCACTCCCTCACAGCCCATCTTTCTTCTCCCTAGTGTTAATGTTTCATGTGATGTTAATTAAATGCACATGTGTAACTAATTTAAGTGATATAGAATTCAAAGCAGTCTTAATTCCCCTTTCAATCAAAAAAATACAATATAAAAGTAAGCTACAGTTGCATATGCTTTACAGTGGACTGAAAATTGAATTGCAAAACCATATTTCATGGAAAAGTCTAAATTGACTTCTCAGGTTATGAATACCTGATTGTGGTAAGTGCAGTTTAGAAATAGTCCCATTTTATCTCATTCAGAAAAGGCAGTCATTCATTGTACCTGAGTGTAATTACCAGGAAAGTGGACAGAAAGGGAATAATTTTTGAGCTGTCAAGCTTAACCCATACATACAGAATAAATATTCTTACTCTGGCATATGACAAAAATGAAACTACCCAACAACATGGTAGCAGCAGTGTCCAAACGCTTGCCAAAGAGTCCTGCCATTAACAAGACCCAAAAAAGGCACGGAAGGAAATTGATATATATTCTCTACATGTCATAATGACACACATTGTTAAAGATGTTTTCTTTATGAGGAAGGCTATCTGAAGTTCATCTTTATTGCATTTCAAATCAACATTTTAACATCACCATATTAAAGAGGGAGGAAAAGCAGTGTTAAAATTTATAGTCTGAACAATATTTGCACAAATGGCCGTAATCCTGAAAATATCATGTTTCACCTACCAAAGTCAGCATAAGGATAACTCTGCATTTTTACCTAAAGAAAATTGCCAGTGGGGACTCAGACCTAATAAAAGTTATCAGACCAGTGAATACAGAATGTGGCAGTCTGTATTAAGGGTAGGCATCTTCTACTGCTAGGAGAGAAAACTAAAGAGCTTACCTTTATGATGGTTTGCACTGGATACGACTTTCCCCCACAAGGTTACGATGAAAATTATTATTAGCAATTTTCCTTTTGTTGCTTTCTGTAAGTATCTCTTACTCATCCTGTAAATAAAAAAATAGTAATAATAAACATCCCAAGTGTGTACAATTATCACATTTCTTTTGTAATTGCACTACTTTTAAGCACTCCATGATACCTTAACCAATTTGTATACTATACATTTAAAATGCTGTTTACTGCACATAAACTATGAACAGAGAATATACAGAATTCCCAAAATAACTTGATATGCTCCAAGAGTTAAGCAGAGTCCTGAATTAGCCAATATTCGCCCATTTAATGCTAGATTAGTCAATTTGAAAACATTATCATTTTCTTTCCTATACAAACACAGACCTAATATTAGAATCTAAGACAGACATTTGAATAATTTGTTAAATGAACAACTTACTGTTTTACTTTTTTTAATGATTCTTTCTTTCAAGCCAACTCAAATGGTTAAATAGTTTAGATGAAACTATCATTTGTAATGGGTTTTTAAGTCACCCAGCAATATAATCTCCATATCATAAACCAATGTATATAATTGTGCTCCTTGAGACACAGTATTATTAGATTCTACCTTACAGTACGTTACCAGAAGTAAGGCCAAAAGGAAAATTTAGAATGAAAAATATGAAGTGAACACTTCCAAATTGAACCCATAAAACTCTGGAAAGCAAAAAAGTTGTAATAAAATGATAGTTATCCATAATGTTTCATCACCTATATTCTCCATCATTTGGTACAGGTTATTTATTTCGCTCTTAAGAATAAATCTGAGATGTTGGTATATCCACTCCCACTTTGTAGTTGATAAAACTAAGAAATTTATTGAGAACATATTTAAAGGACAGTAAAATTTATTGTTTTTATTTATTTATTTTTTTTTTTTTTTGTCTTTTTCCTTTTTATTGGTACCGGGGATCGAACTCATGACTGCCTGCTTGCAAGGCAGGCGCTTATGCCACTGAGCTAAATCCCCAGCCCCTTATTGTTTTTATTTTAAAGAGGAAAAAGCACAGAAAATCAAAAAGCAATCTAACGAAGAAAAAAAGACAAAAGCCAAATGACAACATCAACACCAAGACAATAGTGATACAAGATTTCAAAACAAGATCATAGGAATTTATCATTGCTTGTTATATTGCATAGTGTTATCTTCAAAATACTTGCTCAGATTATAAGATTACAGGTATGCAAAATTGATCAAACAATATAATTTACCTTTGAGAAGTTTTTTGCCTTTCACGATATCTATTGTAACTACATGATCTTGTTTACTATTAGTTTCTTACACCAGCAAGACAATAGTGTTTCCAAATGTGAGTCTGATTTCTTTCACTTAGATTGTGGTCTCTAGTTGCATCCGTTTACCTAAAAAAGCCTCTAGTTTATCCTTCTTTATAGTTGAGTAGCACTGCATTGTATAAAACTACCACATCTTTTTTATTCAATCCCCAATTGATGGGCATTTGGGTTGTTTCCAAGATCTAGCTACTACAAACTGTGTGACTACAAACACGGGTGGACATATATCGCTGTGGTATATTTTTAATTCTTCTGGGAAAATAACCAGGAAGGAAATAGCTGTGTTGAATAGAACCTCTAATTTTAGATTTTTTAGGAAACTCCATACTGATTTTCACAGTGGTTTCACCAGTCTGCACTCCCAACAGTGCAAAAGGGTTTCTTTCTCCCCACTTCCCCTCCAGCATTTGTTATATGTTGATTTTTGGTGCTGACCATTCTTTCTGGAGTGAGATTGTAGCTCAGGGTTCTTTTAATTTGCATTTGTCAAATGACCCATGATGTTGAAAATTTTTACACTTATTTATTTGCCATTTGAATTTCTTCAGATGCCCATTTTTGGATTGGGCCTTTGAATTTTGGGGGCCTCATTCTTTTTAGTTCATTATATGTTCTACATAGAAGTCCTTTGTCACAGTGAAAGTTGGCAAAAATCTTTTCCCAATAGTGAATTTTCTTTTCACTTTGTTGGTGATTTCTTTGGATGTGAAAAAACATTTTAGTAAGATCAGATATCATTTCTTGATTCTTTGAATTAATTCCCATGCAGTTTGGTTTTTGTTCATGAATTCTCTGCCTACTCCTGTCTCAAGATTTCTACCTACTTTGTTTTGCAGTAACTTTGGTGTCTGTTTTAATATTGAGATCTTTGGTGCATTATTACTTTAGTTTAATGCATGGTGATAGGTATGGGTCTAGTTTAAGTTTTCAGCATGTAGAAAGCTAACTTTTTCAACATCACTTATTAAACAGGCTATCTTTCTTCCAGTGACCATGCTTGGCCTCTTTGTCAAAGACAAGGTGACTAAATGTGTTTGTAGTTGTATCTGTATCTTCTATTCTGCTCTACTGATCCTCAGGTCTGTTTATTTGCCAATAGCATGCTGATTTTATTATAGCAAATTTGTAGTATAAGTCCAGGTCAGGGATGCCTCCTGCTTTGCCTTTGTTGTCCAGGATGCCTTTGCTATTCTACCTCTGTTTTGCTCCAGATGAATTTTAGGCATGTGTTTTCTAAGTCTCTGAAGTATTCTAATGGTATTTTGATCAGGATTGCATTAAATCTGTGTAAGTTTTGAGAGTAGGGCCATTTTTATGATGTTGTTTCTTCCTATGCATGAGCAAGGGATATCTTTCCATTTTAGATAAATTCTTCAATTTCTTTTTTCAGAGTACTGTAATTTTCATGTAGAAATCTTTTACTTCCTGTGTTAGATTTATTTCTAAGTATTTCATTTTTTTAGATGCTATTGTGAAAGATGTGGTTTCTCTAATTTCTCTCTCAGTGAGTTTGTTGTTTGTGTACCGGAATGCTATTGATTTTAAGGTTGATTTTGTACCTTGCTGCATTGATGAATTTGTTCATTAAGTCTAGAAGTCTGCTGGAGTTGTGGGGGTCTTCTATATAGAGTATCATGTCATTGGGATGTAATGATAATTAAACTTCTTTGTTTCCTGTCCTTATTCCTTTTATTTCTCCCTCTTGTCTAATTGCTTTGGCTAACATTTCCAGATCTATAGAGAATAGATGTGGTGATAATTGATATCCTTGTCTTGTTCCTGATTTTAGAGTGAAAGTTTTCAGTTTTGTCCATTTAGTATAATCTTGACTGTTGGTTTGTTATAAATGGCTTTTATCAGATTGAGGTAAAGACAATCTATTCCAATTTCCTCTAGGGTTTCTATCATCAGTGAGTGTTGGATTTTATTGAAAGCTTTTTCTGCACCTATTGAGATGAACACATGATTTTCTTGTCTTTGGCTTAGTTAATATGATGTACTATGCTTATTTATTTGCATATGTTGAACCACTCCTGCATTCCTGGAATGAATCCCACTTGGTCATGGTATATAATCTTCTTAATGATTTGCTGCATTGTTTGCTAGTATTTTATTGAAGATTTTTGCATCTATGTTCATTAGGGAGACTGACCGTAGTTCTCTTGTTTGGTTGACTCTCTAGTTTTGGTATCAGGGTAATACTTACCTCCAGAAATTATTTAGGGAAAACTTTTTCCCTTCCAATTTCATTAGAGTGATTGAGGTGCATTGATCTTAAATCTTCACTAAATTTCTTATAGAATTCAGCTGTAAATTGGTATTTTCTTATTGGTAAGTTTATTTTATTACATTTTCAATTTCATTAACACATTGGTTTATTCAGAATTTTTATATCTTCTTGATTCAATTTTGGTAATTTATTTGTTTCCAGGAATTTGTCCACTTGTTCTGTATTTTCCATTCTATGAAAGTATATATTTTCAAAATAGATATTGACAATTATCTGAATTCCCTCAGAATCTGAATGATTTTACCCTTTCCATTTCTTATTGCATGTTTCTTACTTTGTTTATGAAAGGGAAAATATATGTGTCTGTTGCTCAGTGCCTTTCAAATTTAGCTCCTATATTTAATGCCATTTTTGCAAAATTACCAATTCTCTCTTTCCCTGTTTCTAATGTAGCTTCCTGGGGTTACTTGATGACATTGGGTGGTTTCTTTTCCTTAATTCCCTAAACTATACTTTCCTTACACCTTCACCTCCAAACTATTCCATCTTCAAAATTCTGACCCAGTGGTAGCGTTATAAAAATTCTGATTTTTACATGAATAACTGCATGAAATATAAGTATGCTAATTTTTATTTATTTTTGTTTTAAAGGGAATAAAATAAAACAAAACAAAATAAAGCTAATCAGAACAAAATAATGAAAGCGATGTGGGACTTTAAAACAAGATAATAGGAAATCAACAAATGCTACAATAATGTCTCTTGTTTTCTTCAAAATAGCTGCCTATAATCATCTGACATACTAGAGTCAAACAAAATAGAATAAAGTCAATAAAAACAAAAGGGTGAAAACATATTTTAAAGAGAATAAAGCCAAACAAAAGAAAACAGAATAAAACCAATCAAAACAAAACAGTGAAAGTAATAAAGGATTTCAAAACAGAATAGGACATCAACAATGGCTACTGTAATGCCCCTTGTTATCTTCAAAATTGTTGCCCAAACCATAAAATATAATAAAATAAAACAAAACAGAACAGAATAAAAGCAATCAAAACAGAACACTAAATAAAACAATAAGCAGAAGAATATTGTATTTCAAAAACAAGACAGGAGGAAATCCCCCATATTTGCTATACTGCATATTGCTATCCTCTTAGTAGATGCTCAGACTACTGGCCTTAGGCCTGCAAAGTCAATCAAAGAGTAGAAGCTTTAAAGTGTCGTTGTGCTTCACTTGCTATCAACTCAGCCTGTCCTCTAAATCAACAGGGTGCTTACAGGGGCATGAGGGGGGAGGGCTGTTGTGTCCTTGTCTCCCAGCCTGCGTGCTGGGTTGGCTCATGGAGAAGGGCAAATTGGTTTCTTGTTACTCCTTCCAGAACCAGCATGGCTTCTGCCAACTGACAGGAAGGGCAAATTGGCTCAATACGTTAATATATTAATGAGAAAGTTGTAAACATTGATTTATGTGCTGAGGAAATAGTATTGTAGTATTGGAAATTCGAGTCAAACTCTACA